CTTTGTAAATAGGGAGGAATGGAGGGGTTGAAGGGAGGGCTGGGCAAGGGTGAAAAATAAGAATCAAGAGAGATTATGTAAAGGTGCAAATTTCTAATGATGAAAGTCATTATATTGTATTCCTAAAATGTACCAATGATTAGAATGAATAATCAATAAGGCAAAGTAGAAAGAAAATGTCCAAAGAGCTAGGGGTAGTGGGAGGGGCAGGGGAAAGGAAAGAAAGGAAAGGAAAAATGATGATTAATGGAAAAAATTGAAATAAAGTCTTTGTAAATAGGGAGGGGTGGTGCGGGTGAAGGGAGGGCTAGGAATGGGGAAAAAATAAGAACCAAGATGCATTATTTAAAGGTACAATTCCCAATGAGAAATGTAATTGTGTTGTATACCTACAAGGTACCAATAAAAGAATTTAAGAACAAAAATATCACAGTGCTCCCCTGGTTGGATTCCTCCTATCCTACCTGCTATAATCTGGTCTCCACCTAGCAAAGGGATTTTTCTAAAATGCACATCTGACTTATTATTTCTCTACTTAAAATGATGAAATAACTGTCTATTGTCCAACACTATTTCTCCAATTTCTGAGACAAAGTGTAGTCACCCACGAATGTGGTTAAAGTGCAGCCTCCTCCCTATTCAAATAGACAGCAGCCCAGAAATCCATGCCTGCCTCCACCACCACCGCACAAGTCATCTACCAAATACACTTGGAAGAACATGGACCTCTAGGGTTACTGGCAGGCATAGAAGGCCCGCCATGACTTTGGCTCTGTCTAGCTCCCTTTCCTCACTACTCTCTGTCATCTCATCACACCCTAAGAACTAACTCTAAGGAGCTGCCAGAAATCCCCAAAGATACCTCATGGATTGAGAGCACCTCAGGGAGTTCTGCCTGACATGCTTTGTTTTGTCCCCATACTGTCCTAGAAGTTTTCTCGAGCCAGGATGGTGGCTTGTTTGATCATTATTGCCCCAGAAACTACCATATTGCCTGATACACAGTCAGCACTTATTTATTATTATCAGTTAAACAAATAAGTGAATGAATAGCTAACACTTGTTTGATGTCCAAAATGTCATCTGCTATTGAAGCCTTCTTCCTCTCCAACCCCTACACCTCCTTCAAAGTGGACTCTGAGGACCACCCAACATATGTCTGTTTCTAGCACACCACCTAACACAATTTATCTTCCTCAATTACTTACACATGTGCCACAGTAGGGGACCAGGAAGCCAGTACTGAACACAGTACTCAGCACACTGTAGATTCTTAATACTGGATAGACACATTACTCTTCCTTCCTTTGTCTGGTGCCAATAAATCCACTTGGGCAGTCTAAGATTGCATTCCCTTTTTTTGGCAGCTGCACCACTGTTGGCCCAGACTCTGTTTGCAATGTCTGAAAACTCTGAAATCTTTTCCATTTCAACCAGTTCAAAAGCAGATTTCTGAGTTCTATTACTGACACAGAATTTTCAGCTCTTAGCGGAGGACTCTGAGTGTAACACTATTAAATTTTATATGATATATTTAGCAGCCTGTCAAGATCTTGTTAAATCTTTCTTCTATCACCCACTTTATTATGGGGCCCACCCACTTTAGTCATCAGCAGATTACTAAGTGCCCCATTTAGATGTCATCTAACTTAATGAACTTGATGGGGCCAGAGCACCAAGACTACTTCCAAGCTGGTGGCTGATAATCAGTAAACACTAAGCTTTGGTTAAAACTGTTTAGCTCCCAAGGAATTCACATTAAATAGTGGAGCCATTCTGAAAGGGCAATGTCGTATCTCTTTGGGGTGGGCAAGGAGCTGGGACACCCAGGAAGGCATGGATAGGCCACCCTTTCGATTTCTGTCATCCAGATGCCGACTTCTTCCTGGACTCCTTGCAGAGTTCTTGTTTGGATATACAGGTAGTTGCAAGACAACCCACTCTCAGGTTTCTATGGATTTCTGCAGATTGCTGGAAGCACTGCTATCATTTCTTGACTTCTCGGACAAGAAGGCCAGTACTGCCATCGGACTGCTCACAGACTTGGCTCTGGAAGAAAGGTAATGCTTTTTACTTCCAGAAATTGACAATTCTTCCACCTATATTGAGTTGTCTGATTTTTTAAAATGTGCAGTATACAGTGAGGCTAGGCCAAGTCTCTGACTGAACAACACAGCATTCAGAGCAGGAGGGCTGATGCCTACCAGGAGGCTGTGATCATCCACTTTTATCTCAGGCCCTCTGAGTGGAGGATGACCCTGTCTTCACTGGCTCTGGGAGCAGTAATATGCAGTTGGATCTTTATATCCATGGGCTCTGCATCTGCATATTCAGCCAACCACAGATTAAAAATAGTGGAAAAATGTGTCTGTACTAAACATATACAGACTTTTATTTTTTATCATTCCCTAAACAATACAGCACATGAACTGTTTAGCACTTGCATTGTATAGGAACAGTAAGCAATCAAAAGATTAGCTTTAATTTTTTTTTTTGGAACCGGGGATCAAACTCAGGACCTTGCGCTTGTGAGGTAGGAGCCAGAACCACTGAGCTAAATCCCTGGCCCAATTAGCTATAATTTTAAGTGTACAGAAGAATGTGTGTAGACTATATGCAAAAACTATGACATTGTATCTAAGGGAACTGAGCATTTAGAGATTTTGCTATCCAGGGGTTTCCTGGAACCAATCCCTGGCAGATGCTGATTAATGACTACTTGAAACAGTGCCTTTCATAGTCAGCACACCTATTATGTGTCAGGGAAACTCCTCCTCTTAATCAGTGCCTAGGAAATTTTTGGTGAATAAACAAATCAGAATGAGCAGTGAAATGCAGCCTTGGGTTGCCAGTGGCATTATGGCGGGGTGCCTCTCTTCCTGCCCTGATTTCTGTATTTTAGTTTTGCTTGGCTGCTGGGGAAGATAGTAAAGGCCAAAAATCACATCTTCTTTAAAAATTTCCTTACAAACTTTAAAGGTCTTGCCTAGAAACAGTCATGTAATGGAGAGCTGCCTGTGCTTGCAGACAGGCAGCCAACTGGCATGGGCAGGAAGTGTGGACTGCTGCTCTGTCATGTGCAGATATATGCAGTTGGGTCCTCACACAGCACACACATAATGTATAAAGTCAGCAAGGGACCGGGATGCAAAGTCAGCTTATAAGAGGATTAAGGATTCTAGCAGCTTCTGCCTAAGATAGATGCCAACTGAGATCTGTCATTTAACATTAAAAACTTGGGAAAATTAAGCTACATTACATACTTTGGACAGGAGGGAGGTCAGAATGAATTGTCCATGCCTACTGTAAATCACACAGGCCCAGTTTATAACTGTTTGCTACATTACCCAAGATACCGTATTTACATTATCACTTGTGCTATGTAAAAATAATCCTGGCTGACATTTTCTTGACAGATTCCAAGTCTGGTTCCAGGCCAACCTTCCAGATGCTCTCTTTGCATTCACAGGTGTACTGGTGAGCAAATCCTCATTTCTGTCCTTTACGTGGGGAGCTTGAACAAAGTTGTTTAAACATAGTTTCAACCACTGAACCCTCATTGACTCTCAGGTTGATTAATCATTTATTCACAGCTGGAATTTACGCTGATTCTTAGTTACCGAAATGGCTGCAGGCAGGACAGGTGGCGGTGGTACATGGATGGGGCTGGTTACATGGAAAAAAGCTGTGTGCAAACCGTATCTAGGTGAAGGGAAAAGGGTTGGTCAGTCTCCATCAGTCCCCTCCTGATACCAAGTCTTTTCACCTCCATCAGGAGGACAGGTATAGCAGCTGTTACTGATGAAACAAAGGATAGTAAGGGTTCTTCTGGAGACCACGCTGTTCCTAGTGAGCCCTAGAAGTTTCAGTGGCACTAAGGGAGCATAACCACATCCCAAAATTTCATAGCTGTGAAAATGGGGGCTCTGAGAAGGGAAGGGCTTACACAGGCCTCCCAGTGAGTTGGTGGAGGAGCCAAGGCCCTTTTGGGTCTACTGCTATGTGCTTCTGTCCTGTTGCCAGTGGGACCCCTTTGATGTCCCCAAGTAACAGTAAGCTCACTGGTTCCCAACTTTTTGGTGAGTGAAGACCACTCTTAGTGGTAGCATCATTTACCTGCTCTCTGAGGTTTTATTTTCTTTTCATTCACTTTAGAAGAGAGATCCCATGGTAACCAACTCCTCAGCGCTGTGCAGGTGTATTGCCATCATGGGAAATCTCAGTGCTGAGCCTGCTACCCGAAGACACATGTTGGCCTGTGACGAATTCAGGGATGCCTGTTTGGGACTCCTGGTATTTTTAGATTTTCTACTCAAATTTGGTATTTTATCCTCTTTGGGTCCATTAACTTCTTCTTAATTATCTGGCTTTTCCAAAAATTCTGTTTCTCAGGGTGCTGAAGCCAATGGGTTATCCATTCTGTAACCATAGATTTTATGGGTTGCAGGCATAAAAGAGCCCTCCAGATCAAGTCTTCCCCACCCTGGTGGGATTTGTGGGATTTTCTGGTGGAGCTTCCTTGATCAACCATTTCAGAAGCTCACCTTGGGCTAGGAAGATACAGAGAACTTTGGCAAAGATCCCCAAGCCTTCTTTCATACCTCCTAGATGAACACTAACTAATGGAACTGGCCTGCGCACTTCTACCATCACTTAAGTCCACGACATTGAAAATTCAAGGAATGTGGGTAGCTCTGCAGTCCTTGTCCAAGGGAAAAGATGCCCAAGAAAGCTGTCAAGAGAGCAAGGTCATTGATTACCTTGTTTTATTTCCAAGGCCAGGTGCAAGGATGACATGGACCTATACAGAGAGGTCACTTACACACTCCTGGGACTCATGATGAACCTATGTCTTCAGGTCCCCTTTGTCTCAGAGGTATGGACACATGTCTCCCACCCTGCTGCTCTGAAACAACCTGAACACATCCTGTTGCATAGAACTATACACAGCATATGGACTTCGGCAGCAGCAGTGGAGATGGGGAGGGCTGGAAGGACACTCCATCACTTCCCTCTGTTGAGGACAAGATGAATCAGTCATATATTACTTCAGAAAGTTGCCTGCAAGTCCAGGGTGTGCTGAGCATAGCACTGGATGCTGTATTTACAAAGTCAAATAAAATATGGCCCCTACTGTGAAAGTATTGCCAGAGTTACGGGGAGATAAAGATGGAACAGAATAGGAAAAGGCCCAGAAGATTTGTGGAGGAAATCTGGACAGAATGTGTTAAGAGGGAGTGGGAAGTTCTGTTTGTTTGCTCAGAAGAAGCTCTACAGAGGATTTTAATAATGGGACATTAAACTCTCCTCCCTTTTCCTGGTGGTTGTAGGTTTGGGCTGTGGAGCTGAGCAGAAGATGCCTGTCTTTACTAAACAGCCAAGATGGGGGCATCCTAACTGTAAGTTTCTCAGAGAAGTACAGAATCAGCATCTTTGTTTCTGCTCTAGTTTCATTTTGATGTAGGTGGGTCTTAACCTTTTGGCAGTCACTACCTTTGATAATCAGCTGACTCTTGAAGGTTTGGTGGGGATACATGCCTCAGTATGATGCTCACAAGCACATAAATACCAGATTCTGCTTACAATTTGGGGAATTTGGTGACCTTTCCCCAGTGCCCATCTGTGGAGTCCATAGAATCAGAATCTCTTTTCTGTATTGCCTGGAATCTGACCAGTGGACACAATGTAATCTACCTGATTTGTCCCATTCCAAGAGATCTTGTGCACACTGGACAAGACAAAAGATTGTATCTAGTATCCCTTCTTTTCATCATCGAAAAAGCTAGGACCATGTTTTAAAGGCTGTGATCTTGGAGGTGGTTTATGCATATAAGTTTTGACCCCTTTGGAGATTTATGCAGGAATGGATTTCTTCATTCTGCTTCTGAGACTGAAGCAAACTGAGGGGAAAAAAGCCAACAAATTCACAGAGAGAACATAAGAAAACTTTTGTTGGGTGAGAAAACTTAGGCCTGTAGTTAGCACAGTGCATTCAAGAGATGAATAATAATATGATTCAAGAGGCTATTTGGCATTGTCCTGAGATGTGTCTTCTTCACTCACATTACTAATCATCCATGGTTTTTTTTTACCTTTTAAGACAGGGCCTAAAACTATAGAAAACAATCAAAGCCATATCCAACCCAACATATTTTGTTTAGGGCCAGCACTCCGATACTACATTATAGTGCAAAGGTTTGGGGTTTTTTTCCCATTAAGTTTATTGGTACATTTTAGTTATAAAATACTGTTACAAACATCACTGGGATCTTGTACCATTACATGAGTATTTTGGTTCTTTTATTTTTCCCCTTCCCCTGCCCTCCCTTCACCCCCTCCACCTCTGCTATTTGCAAAGACTTCGTTTCCATTTTTTTCCTTTTCTCATATATTTTCTTTTCCCTTTTTTCCTTTCCCCTACCTCTCACACTTCCCCTGCGCCTTTAGACCATTTCTTCCTATTACACAATATCAATTATACGGTTTTGAAATTACAATATCAAGATCTAGGAGACATTACTACAGATTTTACAGAATTTAAAAGGATATAGAATGCATATTTCAAAAATCTGTTTTGAAATAAATTTGACAACTTCTAAGAAGTACCTTGGAAGAC